CCGCCTTTGAAGAAAAACGCGACGAAAATTTTTTATCCAAGCTCCATTTCAGAGCTCAGCAGTCCCAATCAAAAAATACCTAACTGAAATCAAAACAAGCGTCCAATTACCCTATCCGAAGAAAAAAAAAGCACGTGTCTTGCCCATAGTGGGTACGATTTTTGGAATTACATCCAGCCTCTGCGTCTTCCAACTATTTTTTACATGAGATTATATTCAAATATGAAGTATAACAGCCTACCGGCACAAAGACTTCTTTTTTGTTTCCACTTTTTCAGTCAAGGGCACGTGCTGACTTAGTGTTAGGACGTGTGCGAGATCTTCACGCTCCCGCTCGCTCGAGAACACACTAGAACCCTGTAATGTTGAGGGAACACAAAAATGTTAACAAGAAAAATCTCGAACTATAATATGCACCTCACAATAAATACACCAAAGCAAAAGGATCTACACTGGTGTGCAAAACTTAGGGACGAACGTAGCTTTTCCAACGACGTGTTACTGGCGCGTAACATGACTCTATGGAACCTAACCACACATACAAAGAGCTGCACAGGGCACTAAAGAAAGCAGTTAACAGGAACCGTTAAACGGTCCACAAAGCTATCAAAAGGTTATGATACTTCATCTGTCTCGTCCTTAAGTTTTGCACACCAGTGTACGATAAAAAGAAGGAAATGACCGTTCTCACCATGTGTTTTCCTTTCAGCACGGATCCTGCGCTGGGAAGACGACGAACTGTACCTAGATAATGCTAATTAATAATCCAACTCTTTCTTTGGTTAACTTCACGTACAACTGCTGAACTTCCGAGACTTGTATAAAACCATTCGACTTCAGTTAAACTGGGTGCCTAGGCACAAAGCTACAGCGTGATATCGCGCCACCTACAGTTCAATTGTCACGTCTCCTTCGGGTATTGCATTAACATACCACCCTTGTGTATGCTACCAACGGAAGCATCTGCACCGTATATGTATTGAATATTATATGGAGGACACGTATCATCTGAACTGGGCGTAGAAATTGACTCCAAGAGACTCGACGGCACGCTATAACTTCATTCTTGAAAGAAATAATTGGCCAAGACTAAAGCCCGGCTTGAACAAAGTGCACTGTCCACGAAGAAAGAAACAGAAGAAAAATTTGAAACCCGTAAACGCGCCCACTCTCCACTACTATAAACTCGAAATTGGATGGGTGTGGTGCGCTAGGGGATGAAAGTATGGCGGCGGTGTAGTTCACGTCAGCTACACTAATCTTATTTTGCGCGGGAAGGATGCTCCAGGGTGGGTAAACCATTTTATTTGTGCAATAAAGCGACTAAGCATGACCTAAACTGGAAATGTTCGTCGTGGAAGCCAGAGTGCTCTCCGACGCGATCCCCCTCGCACACCAGACAAGACGGTTCATACAGCCCGATAATGATTACGTGACTACTTGAACTCTCCCCTATGCTCTGCCGAGAAAGGCC